AAATTAACATCTTATATACCTTAACAACTCTTAAACCTTACAAACTTCTACCTAACAAGTTAAAACAGTGGTCTACCCATGGTATATATTATTTCCGGCATTTTTAATATATATTTAATATTTATGCATTTAAAATAATAATAATTATACCGTGTACCCACCTCAATTAACATTTTGATGACAAGGGTTTCTTACATTTTATAAATCTAAAATACTCAACTATGATTAATTACTGAACTAATCTGATCTATAATTGTACGTGCAGCATTATTATTTTATATGAAAGTCAATGACTTTAAAAAAGAAACTTGCTAGGTACCGAACTAATAATTATACAGTTAAAAATAATATCATTATTATAATTGTTATTATTATCGTTTTCATAAATATTTACTATTATGCTAAAAAAAAATCATAATATTTGTACAAAGATAATATTATGGTTCGTGTGTATTAAAATACAACTATTCAACGAGTGAAGTATATGAGGTCAGCATACCTAGAAATAAATTTACTAAAAAACACAATTATTGTAGAAAAATAAATAAATACACGTAAATTGAAAGCAAAAGTAAATAATTACAATCAAATAATGGTTTTGAATGTTCCAGTAGTAACGTTTTTTTCAGTTGTAGCCTTGGTTATCTAGAAATTTCAAAAAAAAAACCAAATCAACGATACCTATTTGTTGTACGATTTTTTTTAATTAAATAGAACACCTGTCAGGAATCTAAACATTTTTTTCAAACAATTTTAAAATTCGCCTTCTATATTCATCGTGTATAGTTGATTTAATTTCATTAATTTATTTGTTTACTATTTTTAACTATTTTAATTTAATAGGACGCCTCACCAGCATCTACTGTGTTCGTCTTACAAGTGCGTAACAATAAATTTGCGTTTGGTAAGACAAATTTAAATAGTATGCTATTAGTTTTGATATTACAGTGAATTTACCTGTCACCAAATCTTAAGGTAAGAAGATTATCAGTGCTCTATTAAGCGAGATATATTCATTTTCATATTTTGATTTTTCACATATTCATAGCTCAAATAAAAATGTAAACATAAAAAAACATCTATATTAAGACACATACAATCTTCTGTATCTGTGTGCGACTTTTATACAATCGGTGTGTGAGGGTATTTCAGGAAGTTCATTTTTCGGTTTTCTCATTAAATGAAAAAAAAACCGAAAAAAAAAAACGGGAATATGTACAAAATATATTACTAAAATATTACGATTTTTTTTTTCCTGTGCACGACTTTTCTACCAGCAATTTTGCTCCAACTTATAATGATATCAATGTTTCTAAAAGGAAATTTCACTAGGGAAGTACTTCAGAGAGGTCAACTTTCAATAGAAGTTCATTTTTCGATTTTCTCAGGTGTTTTCTTTAAAAAAAAACACACGATAAGTAGAAAAAAAATGAAATTTCAGAATTTAACAACACTAATTGTTTATCCTAAGATTTACCAAATATCAAAGGTAAAAATACGTTAGTCCGAACTACCAAGAATCATTCGACAATTGACCAAACTATTTTATGTATTCTTGGTTTAACCGAAATTCGTATTTTTATGTAGAAAATTACGTATTTTAAATTTTTTAATAGTACCTTTTAAATAGTGAAATAGTTAAAACGAAAAAAAGAACAAATATTAAACATTTTCAATCATCAAAATTCTCTATAAATTTACATATTCTGTATAGTAACGAAGAAAGTAATATTCTTATCATCTGTTTTAAAAGGAATTTAATGGCAACATAATTATTTAGACAAATTCACACTGATATACATATTTCTCATAATTTCTCTTTGACAATACTACAAATTGTATTTTTCTGTAGCGGTAATAAATTTAATGTTGAATATTACTAAAAATTGAAGGTGAAAAGCTAGCAAAATAATAAAAACAAACGCAAATAAAAGTTTTACAAATTGGGTGACCCAGAATCAAAAATAACCGTAATGAGACGAAAGAAGTCAGTGACGAGCCAATCGTTATGCCGGTGCAGTCGTATGTATTATATATAATAATAAGTTGTTCCTTGGGCTATCCTCGAATCTTGGCGGTAGTCTTTGAATTCACTTGGAAGTTTCTTTTCTTTTCTTTTTATGTTTTTGTCACTACATAATATTGTTATAACAATCGACCGCTGTCAATACTCGGAAAAGGAGTTCTAAAAATTTGAAAAGAAAAAAAACATACGTACTTAAAAAATATAACGTCTACCTATTTTTAAAGGAACGCTTGGACAATATAAAGAAGATACAATATAAATATGTATAGACTCTATATCATACCTATATCATATTTATTTCACATTAAAAGGAAACACCAATAACGTTTGACCAATGTGCATACTGATTAATTAATGAAGATAGCTTTAAACTATATTTGTTCTCATGTACACGGATTTTGTAAAAATAATCAAATCAAATGCAAGTGCAAACATCTCATTAAATTATTAATAATTAAACACTAAAATGCTCGAAAAGTGAATATAAAAAGAGCTGATACTGGGGACGGGTGCGCCCACTGGTGTAGGTGAGAAGTTGGAAAGGTAGGATACATAAAGTATCACATACATATACACACATAAATATACATATATACATAAAGTAATTTAATTTATATCTGTAAACAACTGTAAAGCTGTAATGCATTGTTGACGAAAGACAATTCCGAACGTATTTCGGTAATAATTTGAAGTGCTGTAATTTTTTTTAACCTAACCTTCTTACGTTTTTTTTAAATTATTATGAAAACTAATTCGAAAATTAAAAAAACTGCATCATTATAAACAAGATTAATAATTTAACAAAAAAGTTATCTTGTTATTTTTCAATTGGAGTCATATTTATGCTAGAAAACGTAGTAAATACTTATTTAAAACTTCGAAATCGTGAAAAAAGTGGTATTTGTTTCCCCGATTAATCGTTTTTATTTTAAATTCCATTTAGAAAATCAAAAAATGGCATACATATTTACGAAGTAGATAAAATTGAATTTCAGAAAATGTGCTACACTTATAAATCGGAACAAGTTTTCTAGGATGAAAATGGTCTACAGTATAAAGAAAAAAAAAGTACCATTGTAAAAAACTTAAAAAAAAAGAAACAAAGTCGTCCAATGATTTTGGAAATTTTACCACGTCTAGGTAATTCCAATGAAAGTATTATTACCAAGTTTTAAGTCTCTATGTGTATTTTTAACTGAATTACAGTAAAAAACTCCCAAATATTCAAATTCCTTAAAAGCTCAAAAGTGACTAGAAAGTTTTATCGGTGATACGGTAAGAATTTAAATCAAATAGGCAATAATTAATTTAGTGATTTTTCGATTAAATCATTTTTTCTAGTAGAAAACGTCGTCCGTGTTTTTATATAATAATGAAATCGGGAAATTGTACGTTTTCCTCTTTTTTGTCCCACTCAGTTGTTTTATTTAAAAAATGGCGTCGAAAATCAAATAATGATGGTTAAAGTACAATTTAGACACCTTATGCTTTGAGAAAAGTTGCTACATGTAATAATCGGAGCAAGTTTATCAGGAAAAAACGTGTCCACAGACTAGAACAAAGAACAAAGAAAAATAAACATCTTAGAAAAACTAATAGCTCCCTTGCTATGCTTGGAATCTAAAAGTAGACTTTAAAAATAAAATATAAAAGTAATATTCAATCCATTAAGTAGGTATGTAATCTTTTTAATAATTTTCTAAATTTATGTAACTATTTATTATTATTTCTATTTATCCGAATTTATTAAAAAACTATTAATTAAATATAATATTATAATAAAATATAAATAAATCTGTAATAATCTGACAATGTCTGCTTAATTGAGGATTCCGGATCATCACATATTTGTGACACACTTTTTTTCCAGATTCTGAGGGAAGCGAGGAATGTATTAGTTTAACAATGATGTTACTTGTTAGATTTTAAGTGGAGTGAGGAATATATTAATTTTACAATTATGTTTATTTTTTATTTATTTTTTTCTATGAACAACTTTTCTATCAGATATTTAGGTCCGATTTTCAAGTGTAGTACCTTTTCTGACATTTATCTGGGTGATATTTTAGGGAAGTAATTTTTTAATTTTTCAAGTGGTTTTTATTGAGAAAATCTTGGAACAAACGTAGGAAAAACGGAAATGTCTACTAAATGTATTATTTTCAACTTTATTTTTGCTATGATTCGGTTAAAAATATTCATTAGAACTTTAAATTTGAACAGAAAACTTATATTTATTTTGAATTTTGAATTTTATACAATCGCTTTTATTATTATTTTGTTTTCAATCCAGTGTTATCGATTTAAATAAAAATTTGATAACAAATCTATAACACTATTAAAACCACTTGAACATCGATATCATAAAATATTAATTTTTAAACGCTATTCAAGCCCTAAACCATATAAAATAAATCGAGAAATGAATATTGGTTTTATTTTTTGTAATGGTAAAAATAAAAATATACCCATATTATACTTATATCCCTTAGCGTAAATAAATCTTTACAATACCTACTGTAATTTTTTTTTAAGAAATACTTATTCAGTTTGTGTATTTTTAAAGACATATTTCATCATATTACAGTCAAAATTTGTTCAAAAGATTTTAAAAAAGGACATCCTTTTGTACGGCGAAATCTTTATTTCAAAAATAATATCGCAGAATAACAAAAAGAATTGAAAATAAATCTTTGGAAAAATTGACTCTACATTATTGGCACCACAAATTGGCTTTACATAGTTACATTGGTGGGTACTCGTATATTTTTTTTTATTTTTAAGAAAGCATTAAATCGTTTTAAATGATTTAGTATACACTAAAGGAAATATATTTCCATTTCCGTAATCGATATTGTTATGACATAGTTGATGAATGATTTTTGTTTTATACCCTACATATCTCGTTTTATTAATTCGCATACAAAGTAATAATTACAGAAAACTTAACGGTTGTTCCAGATGAGATAATCTGAAACCATCAGAGTATGATATCGATGAGAATACATAAAATGTTTACATAATATTATTAGCTTGAATTATTGTTTTCTTACAATTAATGGAAAGACTGTGTACTACTGCAGATGAATCAACAACAGCAACTGAAATATTTTACATAAACATATACATAGTATTTTAGGTACCTATTCGATTTATTGTTGAAATACTACAAAAAGTAATTGTTTCCATTATAAAACAAAACGCTCCTCTCCACGCGATGAAAAATGTAATCATATTTAATATGTTTGAATTGCACTTGGATTTAATAAAGAAAAAGACAATAGTCAAACAAATCTAGTCAAAAAAAAGTGTTTTAACACAAATGTTCGAAAATATAATACTTTAATTAAAATTTTTGAAAACACTCGTTTCTCCTCCCACTAACAATTTAATAATTGACTAAAAATTAGTATATTTTAATATAATCTATACAGTTAAAAACTTTTTTTGAACTCGTCAAACTGTTATTATAATTATTGTTTGTAGAAATTATAAGAAACTGAATTTAAAAAGGTAGTACATAGAATTAAAACATCTATAAGTGATGTGTTCAGATCACTGTAAGCGAGTAAGTAAAAAGGGGAATGATTAGGTCATATTTTAATTACAATCATATTGATTAGGGTATACAATACGTTTAATAATTACTTTATGTGATAATGTGATGAATATTATTAAATGAAAATAAAACGCTCGTGTGTTTTAATGTAGAATCACAAAATTCGTTCATAATAAACAACAATGTATAGTATGTTGTCCAATTAATATTCTCGTTGAAATTAAAAATTCTCCTAGAACTCGGAAATTATAATATTTAAAATATAGAGCAAATATTGCGCGTAAAATAATTCAAATATGCAAACGAAAATAATAAGTACGCTGAAAGAAATGTTTAACATTTTAAAATAAAGCTTCCATAATTATTAGGGAAAAAAAACTAAAAATCAAATTTATTTAATGTAGTGAAACTAAAATTCTTAGGAATTGTTTCTTTTTGCTGGAATTTTTTCCGAATTTATTGTTTAGACAATGAATTAATTGTGAGTAAAAATTTCGATTATTACCTTATAGTATTGTTCTTAAAATTAAATGAAAGATGTCATAAGTCATAAAACGAAAACGTTGAGGTTTAACTTTCCAAACTGTAATATTGCGGATTTTTGAAACAGTGATAATTAATGATATGTTCGAATATTAAATTTCTCGGTACAACACCATCGTTTAATACTGTATTATAACTAAAAATAGAGAGAAATACACTCATTCAGTTTGTATATGATTTAAAGTAAGCCGAAAACACTTAAGGCCAAGCAAGAAAACGTGTATACTTAAAACGAACATGTTTCTAACTAATGTTCACCTCGTAAGAAAAAAATTACCACGATTAGCAAAAATACACCCAAATAAAAATAAAACAGCTTTATAAATAAATTATAAAGCATTAATTATAATATTATTATTATAAATAACAATGCTTAGCTAGACATCCGAAAAATAAATATAATTTGTTTAAGTATTTTTAGATTCAGAGAGTAGCGAGGGATATATTTATTTAACTAAATAATATGTATTTTTTTTCAATTAATAATAAGTTTTACTTATAGGTGACAAGTTGAGCTTATTTATTAATATTCAATTAATAATAATAGACCTGACATTTTTATTTGATAGGTACTTATATTAACCGTTTTTAGACGTCGTACAATTTTCAAATTGATTTTTGAGTTATTTTTAGTCATTTGAAATTTTTGAAATTATTACTATAGTTATCAGAAAAAAAAAAAACTAAAATATTATAATAAAATAAAATAACCATGTTTTTTTATGTAAAACGACTTTATCTTCCCAAGTGCTCAGGATTATGATTCACACAAGTAGTTATAATTTAGTTATTAGGTAAATATATTTTTATTCTCAAAATTATATTATCTCTTTGACACCATTTATGAAAATATAAAAATATATATTTTGAAACCTATATTCTTCAACTTTTACTGGTTTAGATTTTTATTGGAGCGAAGAAGCTTATGGTTTTACATACAAGAAAAACTTTATACGTTAACTCGAATAGTTATGGATAATATGTATAGTCTACTCTATACGCTCTGAAACTAAAAAATCTATAACAGAGAGATTATTAATACATGATTTCTCAACAAATGATTCACAAAAGATAAATATAATCATATACCTATTGTATACATTATTATTTTTTATTTCTCCCTCTTCTTTCCGTCTGTTTTCAATTATTCCTAATATGCTTATTATTTATCGATTCATTTCTACCGTTAAATTTGTCAGTTTTTTATAATTGTATTCATTAATTTTACATTTCACATCTCAATTCTAAATCAAGGATCTCACTTGATATCGACTTGAAAATTCTCGTTCCATCTCTTGCCGGGCCCAACGCACTCCAATATTCTGTATTCATCTATTTTAGAGTTTTTTGAAAATATTCCGGGTTATGAAATAATATAATGACACGAATAGCACATGTACAGTCTCCTATCAGAGTTTGGCATACGCGGTATGTAAATACGCCCAAGTCCAAAACGAGAGGACGAAGATGGAAATTTATCCTCCGGTGTAAAATTGTCAGTGACGTATTCATGTATTTTTGTTGTACATATTTAGTAAATACTGACAGATAAATTTTTTTATTTAATTTTTCAGGGGAGAGAAATAGTAAATAAGTGGTCTTGTGTGAGTTTTGCATATCAAAAATATTAAAGTTGGAAAAGAGTTATTTTTGGTACTATACAAAACGTATAGAGATTTTCAATCAACTAAGAATAATAACTTACTTTCGCGTAAAACATGTATTACTGGACAGTTATTAGGGCTAATTTTCTTGCAGAATTACCAGATTTTGACCAACAAGTCAATTTAGTTTTATAAAACTTCTATAACCTCCTAAATTTCTTAAAATCAACTAGGTTACGTTTCGGCTCGGACCGAACTTAGACAGGATGTGTGGCGTGATTTATGGTGTTATATATTTTGAATTAATTTAATTTTCGAAATTAATTGTCTCGTTAATTAATTGCTTTGATTTTTTATAGTTTATTTAAATAATTAGTTAAGTATCACTTTTTTCCTTAAAAAAAAAAACAATAATAATATTTTATACTACACAAAATATACTTAATTTTTCAGTACTTATAAAATAAATATTAAATATTGGAAAAAAATTGCAGTTATCTAAGAATTCACGATATTTGTATATTTTAATTCTTTTAAATTTTAATTTTTTCTTTGTTTAATGTTTGAACTCTTCCCAATAATCTGACTTAACACGACGCTATGCAAGCATTTAATATCTCAACAAACAATTAACATAACAAAATTACGTTACTTAAAACGTAAATTATAGCGTTTTGGTTAAAATTAGAATCTGAACATAAAAATAAAATTTTAAATGATAAGTATTTTCTAGATATGTTCGTTTTTTTTTCTAAAATATTGTCTTGTTGGTTTTCATTTTTACGTCATTTTCACTAAGAATAAAATTTCTCGCCTGCCTTTAAATATTATAAGTCGCAACTATATAGGTCAGCTAGTAATACATTCACTACCCGTAATTCCTGAATATTCTTTTTATTTCCGCTATATTCGTATTGAACATATTATTTTTATATCCTAAACGCAGTGACGGCTGTCATTTATGAGTCTCTTGTGTAATAATAATTACTATCATTTACGAACTGTTTTTACGGGCAGTAAAACTCAAATATACGATTATTGATATCTATTGTCACGAAGAAAATGTATTGCGTTCAAAGGCACGACGACACACTAATATATTATTTTAGACGAAATAAAATATTTTAAATCTTTATATATAATATATTTTTGTTATGAACGGATTCTAATAACATGTATTTGTTCTTGCTTCAGATATATTTGATTTTCATTTTTATTAATATTATTTAGGTTTGTATAATACCATATTTTCCAATATGAATAAAATGGGTTTGTATCTGTATTCGATTCATATATTAGATAACGGGAAGAAGTTCGAATGATATAAGATATAGGTTAGTTCAGTTTACATACTTAAAGAAACGACGAATAATTACAATCAACAACCGATGATGAACGGAACTCGATAAACGAGTAAAATATAAGAAGATTTTTTTTTTCTCCATAGTCAAAGTTCTCCCAGTATCTCTGCAGCAATCAATAAAAATGAAACCGATGAATACCATATACTTTTCTATGTATACTTTTTTGTCAGTTTTTTTTAATTTTAAGAAAAATTGATTGGAATCTAAAATACTAATAAAAATTAACGGGTGAACAATTCACATTGTTTAAGAGACGGTGTGAACAATTTTACGCATTTTCGCTAACCAGAAAAGTGTTTTCGAAAAGGTACAACACGAAAAGATTGAGACATTCGTAATAACTAAGAAAGAAGGATTTTCGGACAAAATATACACTTTAGTAAAATTAATGGTGGCTTCCTTCGTTACACTAGAATCTTAATCTAAACTATACTTTATTCGAGATAAATATACATCAGTGAATAGATTTATTTTGTATTTTTTGAAAATTGTATGGATTGTCTAGAACAAAAAACAAAACCACTGACGATAACGATAATAAATAGTCGAGAAACATTAAAATATAGATTTCGTTAAGTTATCGATTGGTGTATAGTATTTACTGTGAAGCTATTTTAATCTAATTTAAGATTATTTACATTTATATTTAATTTCATGTTATTTTTTTCAGTTTAATCTTTATCGTTATTAATTTCGTATTACCCAAACAATATTTTCACTTACTCCGCTATATGTGAATATCATCTTTCAACAGAGCGGTGGTAAGTTTGTTGCGCGATTAAAATCGTTTTTAGTTGATTAATGTCTGTGCGGTAGTAAAACGCGTTAAATGTAGAAGAAACCAAAGATAGAAACTGTTCAAAAGTTAGATTAAGTATAATGAATTGTCACTGCACTGCTACGTACGTATTTAAAATAGATTTTTTTGTTTTTATATAATGTATAGTGTTCCACATAGGATACCCTGTATAAATATTATACATATTTCGTAATAAAAATAGGTGCAGAAATAGCTACATATTAAAACACGGTATAATGATGTGCGATTTCTGAAATTCATAAATTATTTATTGATAAGAAGTTTGAATTTAAAAAAAAAAAATGAACAGAACGTGTACTTTTCACCGTGGCCTGCGGGCAGGCCACTGTCTGTAGGTAGGAAGTTATAATATTAATACAA